CCTAGTTACATGGCTACATATATAGACTGTGTGAAGAACAACTGGGAATATGACACATAGTAAACCAAATGTCCACGGCATTTCCAGGGTTGGTGTCTCTTATGCAAGAGGTGCAGGAGTGCGTGGAGGTAATGGTGCAACTCTTCAACCCAAGTGACCCGGCAGGCACCAGCCCCTCGCACCTCATCACTGTCCTCAAGGCGGCACTCAGACAGATGGCCATTGGTGAGGGCAGAGACCTTGGTTGTGGGGCTCAGAGTGTGCTTTGCTCTGAAGTTTTGCCTTGATGACTTCTTTCTTTCTTTTTTCTTTTTTCTTTCTTTTTTTTTCTTTTCTTTATTTCCTTCTCAGCTTTTGTTTATTTCTACAGGAGATTGGAGAACCTGATAGTCTGATTTTGAAAATGTAGCTGCTTATTTTTTGTTAAATACAAACCTTTGATAACATAACCTGACATTTTACCAGTGTTCCAAAAGATGAATATGTTTCATTATGTATATAACTTCAATACCTTTTTTTGTGCCAATTGCAGACAATACAAATGTGTTTCTTTTTGAGATACAGTTTTTTTGAGTTTGTCCTCAGTAGGGGTTAAATGCTCCATCCTGGAAGTTGGGAATTTAATAATTCTTTTGTTGGGTGTTGGGGAGTGAATAACTCATATACCCTTCCTTAAGTACATGATTTCAAAGTAAGGCAGTATTTTCCCTCCCAAAAAAGCAAAAACTTGCATGTGTATTTCTCTTTATGTAAGATATAAAAAAAAATGAAATACAGCAGTTTTGTTGTTCATGAATAGCCTCCAGTGAATGAAAAAGGTTTGAAATTGGAATAACACTGTAGGAGTTATTTACCCTCCTTGCTTCCAAAGAACAGATATGGAGAAAAGGAGATTTAAAGTTCGGTCATTTTTCTTTCTAAATTTTACCATTGTTTTCCAATCTATAATGTTATGTATGAAAGGAAAGCTGAAAACATGTTTGGTTTGTTATATAGAATTGAAAAAAAACATTCTAGAAATCTACATTTTAGAGATTCCTTAAGCACCATTACTCAGTATGTAATAAATTTGTATATAATTGAGAGCTAACTGACAATGATGTAGTTAAGCAATGACAATGTTATATTAGTGCTATGTTTTTGGGAAATTCTTGGCGCATTTATAGTCTACCATTTGTGTTTTATGTTATATTTTTATATGTAATTGATGTAATTCATTATTGAGTCAGTGTTTCAGAAACAATCAAATAATGGAGGGGGATGGTTAGCTAATCTTTCTATGTACTTCTTACTTTTTTTCTGTAAATGTAAGGTACACAATATAAGGTTTGCACTGAGACCTCCTATTTTGTTGTAATTCATTGGTCAATATGTGTAGATTATACAGATTGGTATTCGGACCAAATACATTAACCAGCTGCTGTTACATGGGTTTTCACCTTCAGTTTAGAAAAAATTAAGAAGTTAGACTGTGTTGTTCTTCAGCTCAAAAGCCTAAGGAAAATCACTGCTCCCTGTCTTGCAGGTGTGGTGAAAATCGTAGAGCTGAGCCAGGAGTTTGAGCACTGTGGCTGGAGACTGACCCAGGAGGAGCAGCACGAGGTCATGCGCTACACTAGGTCACAGCTGCCCCCCCTTCTGGCCACAGTGGTCCGGCTCCTGACCAATGTCCGCGCCTCTCTCACTGCCCTCAACCACCACACGAGGCAGCAGCTTGCACAGCAGTTAGTTCCTGAGGTGAGGGAGGCCTGCTTTTCAGAGAGAGAGGATATACAAGGATAAGATTAGGTTTTGTTTGTAAATAATGCAGCAGTTTTGTGATGATGTATTAGATTTTAATCATAAATGTACTAATATTATTTTTTTTTGTTCTCTAATGATTTTATGGTTTTCAAGATGATTATTGCAGTAGCTTCATTTGGAATTTGTATATTTGATAACTACATTAGTTTTATGCTAGGAGTTTGTTTTTTACTCTACAGTACTAATTAAATATCCATTTCAAGATTTTTCTTCTGATTCTTCTTTCTTGTTCTTCTTCTTCTTCTTCTTCTTCCTCTTAATGATAGTTTTGATTAAACCTGATGGTTGAATTTTGACAATGATATCTAGCCAGGGATTCAAATCTAAAACCTAGGTAACTTCATGAGAGCATTCAGGGTCAACATAGTTCCAAAATAAGGTAGAAATCACCTTTAAAGATTCTATCCCATGCTTACTCCCACTCACTTTCCCTTCCTTGAGTATTTTTTCTCCATCCTGCAGATCCACATAGTCCTGCAGACGGTGTGTGTGGATGTGGAGTCTCTCAGGACCAGCCTGGAGCACATCATCCAGGCTTCGTCTACGTCGTTGGAGTCAGCGCACTCACCAACACACCTGCTGGCCAAATCGTTAAGAAATGTGAGTTTTTCTTATTAATTATGTTTTTTGTGTGTTTTTATGATTAGTTATTGCTAGTTGTTATTGATCTGTTGTTCATCACAGTTAATAAACTATACTAACACACACACACACACATACATACATACATACATACATACATACATACATACACACACACACACATATATATATATATATATATATATATATATATATATATATATATATATATATATATATATATATATATGTGTGTGTGTGTGTGTGTGTATATATATATATATATATATATATATATATATATATATATATATATATGTGTGTGTGTGTGTGTGTGTGTGTGTGTGTGTGTGTGTGTGTGTGTGTGTGTGTGTGTATATATATATATATATATATATATATATATATATATATATATATATATGTGTGTGTGTGTGTGTGTGTGTATATATATATATATATATATATATATATATATATATATATATATATATATATATATATATATATATATACATATGTGTGTGTGTGTGTGTGTGTGTGTGTGTGTGTGTGTGTGTGTGTGTGTGTGTGTGTCTGCATGTGTGTGTGTGTTATATATATACATATACATATGTGTGTGTGTGTGTATATGTATATATATATAAAATTTGCTTAAATACAATGCTACCCATACTTTGTTTCCCATCAGGACCTACACCTCCGTGAGTTGCAGAAACTACGCATCCTGCAGGAGAACCTCACGTCCTTCCTCAACTCTCTGTTCCACAAGAGGGAACAGTTCCGTGAGATGTACGGTGGGGCTAGCGTGCGGGGGGTTGCAAGAATCATCGAGCATTTCACTGAGGAACTCCCCATGCTCATCCTGCGGTTTGAAGAAGCTGCCGCGGCTCTGGAGGACATGCTCGAGTGGTCAGAGTTCAAGTTTGTGTTCAAGGGAGCAACGTCTAAGCTGGTGCGTGGAACGGGTTGGAGTTGAGGATGCGGATTTAGACTAGTCTTAATTCTTTTTTTCCACTGAAAGTAAATTTGTTTTTGAGATAAATTAATTTGAGAATAACTTTACATGCTGTGATATTTTATTAAGAATAGATTAGGGAAGTTTGGGTCAGAAATCAAGAAGCACCAGATTTGTTACTAATTATTAAATTAAGTTATTTTCTCTATAGTGTTTGGAACTTTTATACAAATATAAGGGAAAAATAAAAGGTATCATCGTCATTTATGAAATGAGAACAGACTAAGTAGGCATTGCTAAATATATCTTCTCATACGTTTGATAACATTTCTTCTCTTTCCTCTTTTCTCTGATGATCCAGGGCAGCATTGTGGAACGCCTGGTGGAGCACCGTGGAGTGGTGGAGCCTCTGGTGCTGGAGCTGGTGGAGAGAGTGGGGCACCGGGCCTTCACCACCTCTCTCCAGCACTTGGGCCTCCTGGCACCCTCGCAGCACCCCTCCTCAGGGGACTCCATCTCCCCCGAGGACCACAAGTCGCAGGGGCTGAAGCAGGAGTTCTGGAGAGGTGAGTTCCATTTGTGTTTTTTGTTTGTTTATTGCTCTTGGTTTGTGTGTGTCTGAGTGACCTTTTTTCCTTTGGGACTTCTTTATAAGTATTTCCATAGTATCAGATCCAGCACCGAAATGCCATTTTCTTTTATTATCGGGGTAAATGGTTTTCCAAGTAAAACCCCAAACTAATCCCAAAACTTCTGCAGAATTTGGCCCGGCCTCGTCAGGAGAGACCAGCTCACCAGGGGATTCAGACGGAGCGGGGGACTCTGGCTCCCAGGGTGACTCCACCTCCCCAGACAACCTGAGTGGTGGCAGGAGACGGCAGGGTGTCTCTCCGGTAGGAGACTCGGAGGCAGAGCAGCAACAGCAGCAGTCTCAGTCTACTTGCACCGTGAGTCATACATTGTGTAGAATTCATTCTCAAGTGGTGTTGGAAAGGCCATGAATGTGGACTTGTAATTCCTCAACCACACAATGCCATTGTTTCTTTTACTTGGGTTACCATGCTGTTCTGGTATGACTGCCATGTTTATGCCCATCTAATATAACTATAACTAATAAACTAATAATACAAGTGTTATAAACAAGGAAAGTTTATAGTCGAAAAGTTTCTTGATTGAAAAGCAGCAATTTTTGGTTGATTTGTGATGACAACTGTAGCTGGGCATTATCACTGTATCACCATTATTTATAAACAACTGTACCCAATTTTGTTAGCAAGATAGACTTGAAATAGGAGTAAAATTAAGGAGTGTTTTAAAGTATTCTATCATTCCTCCAGCTGAGCTTGGTAGGCCGAGTATGTGAGCCTCCTCCCTCACGCAGCAACCCCTTAGCAATCAACATAGCTCGCCTGCTAAGCTCTCCACAACTCAGCGATATGACTTTTGTTGTAGTGCCTCCAGCAGGTAGGTTGTTTTTTTTTTTTTCTATTTTTTTTATGCATGTGTGTGCACATGTGTGTGAGTACGTACATGTTTGTGCATGTGTGAGTATGAGTATGAGTGTGTGTTTGTGTGCCTGTGTATGTATGTAAGAGGGAAGATGAGATAGAGAGACTGTAATGTGCAGCCATCACATACAACTAACCTTTTTCTGTGA